TGGGGGGGGGTAGGAGAAGGAGGCTGCCTGGGGAGGCCACTACTAACCCGGGGGGGATGGCAGTAACAGGGAATGCTCCAGCTGGGCAGCTCTGCCAAAGTCACAGGGAGGGGGGCAGCTAGCATGGAAACATCACCAGAGAGAAGGCAGCGGTTGCCATCTGGCTGCTAATAAGAACAGCCCCCAACAGTCTGTGACCAGTTAGTTCAGTGTCAGAGCTCACAGCCACGACCTCTGAGCGGCTGGCTACAAGGAAAGCACTGCACCCGAGTTTACTGGAGAACATGGAAGTGGAGGAGGTCACTAACAAATCTGCTTGCCTGTGCTGAGGCGCTCAACAGCATACGTACACCTGTGCTCTGCCTGGCAAAGAAACGCCGAGATTGAACAGCAATGTGGAGGGTATTTTATAAAATAGCAGTGGGTCATCACTGTCCTTGGATGGTGGCCTGGAACCATGTGTGAGGTACGTATTCAGTATGTTCCCCTACAGTGGCAGGGGGAAACCCTAGGCCAGCTGGTGGCCAGCACAAACAAACAGTGTGAAAGCCTCTTGGGTACTGGTTTAACCATCCCTGGGGAATGTTGAATGCCTTCAGCTACCACCTGTTTCATTGGATTAAAAAAAGGAAGACAGCAGATTGACTCATGCAAGCTTGAGACCAGTGCACATTTCCTTAGCGGTATTTTTGTTGACTGCTGCATCCTGCCCACTATGTACAGGAGCCAGACTAAACCCATGCCAGAAAACTAGAAATAGCAGGTTGCAAGATGTGGTGGAGAAATCAAACTCCTGGGATGTGGCAGCAGCTATGTCCTTGGCTGTCAAAGTCTGACAGAGGAAAATGAGCTGGCAGCATGCTATGTGGGGTAGAACACACAGGGGACTTGGCAACAGTTCTTGCTATGTTAGGTCTCAAAACAGTGCAAGACAAGACCTCTCACTGGAGGCCTGTGCCTATAATGCATGTAGAAGACTCTTCAGGTGTCCCCCACTGTGTCCAGTAAGCGGCATTCTCCAGAGGCTGACAGTGAGCATCCACAACACAGAAGCTGTGGATAGCACAACGATACAAGACTGGCAGATGGAGACAGGTACTACGGGCAGGGAGGGCACTGGCCAAGCAGAGACAAAACTCTTAGGCAGTGCTTGTTACTGAGACTGTTCATAGGTGAACTCGAGAAAACATTGCCCTGTCATGATCTCAGAGCTGATCACTTCTGCAGCACAGAAATTCATACAAAGCTTCCACTAAAGCTGTTGTCCTCTTGAGGCAGGAGACAACCTGTCTCAACCTCTCTATCTCTTCTTTTGCAATCTTGAATCATTCCTCAGAGACCTACAGCAGTCTTGAAAGCATTTCCTATTTAGCGTGTTTTCTTTTTTCTTTGAGTCTGGCGTGCTGTTTGATTGGAGTATGTGGAGTTGATCTGGAGCGGCAGGATTCAAAAGTAGGTGAAGAGCTTCCTGGGCAAGAACATAAGCATCTCTCTTTTTTGGGGGGGAGGGAGGAGCTCTAGGATAAAACCACTTGCCATCCTACAGTTACTAGTCATTTTCTCACTCATGGAACAACTTAGAGATGGTAGGACTCCCTCAGGTTTGTGGTTTCTTTCTTTGGTTCTTTGTTCTTTAGGTTTTTTTTACAAACACTAGTAAGTCAGGCACTAGTACCTCCCAAAAATGGAGGTAGAGGAAGGAAAAGAATAGAGGTTGGGACCAAACACTGCTTTGCAGCATTCTTCTGTTCCTAATGCTGCCTCTTTGCAAATGGCCTGGGACCCAAAGGTTTGACATGAGATTGGGGACGGTGGCTATGTACCTTATTAGACATTTCTCTAGCCTTGCAGGCAGTCCTTCCACTTGATGTCAATGTAACCGATGTTGCCAAAGACTACACTTCCAGTGATACTACCAGTTCAACAAATCTTGAAGGAGTCCAGCTTGCAAAGCATTGTGCTGGTGGCTAGTGCTAGCCAAAACCCTGGAAGGAGGAAGTGGAAATGCAACCTTTTTCTGGAACATGGACAAGCCCACAGAGCTGAGAAACTCCAAAGCAGTATAACTGCGCTATTTGTACAGAAGGTTTCTGTATACTACTCACTCCATTAGGTCTTACGTGCACCAGGTGGATGACCATTTGATAAGTTAAAATAACTAAGCATGGGGAGTGCAAATGAAAAGCAAGGCTCTTAGCTTGCTCGTGTCACTTCTCTAAGCTGCTTCAGTTTTCTGTCACAAATAAAAGCTGTTAACTACGTCTGTCATTTCCTTTTTTTTTTTTTTTTTAAAGCTGTCCAGGTTGGGCTGGAGGCGGTGGAGGATGGGGAAAGGGGGAGGAAGAAGGGGCTCAGCAGGCAGCCAGGAGGAGGTAAGTGAAGGGCAAAATGGAAGAGATGACTGACGCCACTGCCCTGACTCCACCTTCGCCCGCCTACCACTGACTTGCCGCCAAGCGGCTTCCCTCCCCCTAACGTCCCCATCACCACTAGCAGCCCAGGCAGCCAAAGGGGCAGCCACAGCGTAAGCATTTTAGGAGCAAACTGAATATCACGTGGTGAAGGTAAACTAACAGTGTGCTGAACATCATGCTTTTTTACCTGCTTATTCCAGAGACTGATCATCTTGGCCAAGGAGACAAAAACAGCTTCTCCACGTATCCAAATGTCCCAGAGCCCCTGTGGACGCCTTTAAGACAAAGAAATCCTGGTTATCAGAAGTCATAGCTACCCATAGCCATTTCCCATTGGTTCCCTTCATCTGTGCCTCTTACGTAATCCTCACCCAACAACTAACTCTGACCTCAGATGAAGGGCACCCTGAGTGAAGGACAGCTCTGATTTGATCCTCAAACGTGACAATTCATATTTGGGATGCTACAGCCAGCTTGTGGCAGCTGCAGTTTGTGTTGCACAGCAGTGATTACTTTAAGAATATTTTGCTCGTGTTAAGGATGTGTCTGTCATACTGTGAGAACCACCACCTCCATCTGTGCTGTGATGGTGAAGACAGGTTCACAAAAATTATGATTCAACACCCCCTCCCCCTTCCAATCTCCTTACAGGCTCTGTCAGCGAGACAGAGTCACTCCTTAGTCACTCCCTTCTACTCATCTTTCTTCTTATCATGTTATCTACCCTGCTTCCCAGCCACGGTCAATGCTTGCTACTTGTTGCCCCTCAAGAAGCCATTTCCCAATGCAGAGCTTGGCCAGCTGTTGAATTCTTGAGCGATTCCTTTTGACTTCAGGATACAACATCACAAAAGGACAAAAATCAATAATCTCCTTGGATCTTTAATGGACGCAAGACAGAAAGATGATCAGCATGGATTCAATACAGACATACACACAAACGCATTCCCTCCTCACATTGAAATTTTACTAGTCTCACTTTAAGTGAAAGGGTAGGTCTTGTTTGTGTCTGAATTTATGTAAATATATGAAAAATTAATGCAAATATATGGCCTTCTGCTCTCTTGCTGTTCAGCAAGCAGTTTGGAAGAGTTTTGGAACCATTTATGAGTTACTTCACAACAAAATTCTTGAAGTATCCAGTCTTGTTTTGCTGCTGCTCAGAAAATGGCTCAGTTAGCTCAGCCTTCGACATAACCTACAAACTGCCCTCCCCCACTAAGCAGGATAGGGCAACAAGACTAGCAAACTATTAAAAAGAAATGTACAAATATTTGCTTCTAGGTGCATGCACACAACTCAGAACACACCCCCTGCATATGCTAGTAGAAAAATACATGCTGTACATATAAAACCCCACATGCATACACAAGCACATGCTCACATACAGAGACATGTAGGTGCAAACTTAAAACATCTATCAGTAAGAAAAACACCATACTTCCCATACTCACAGAGGCATATGCACATAACAGAAAGAAAATATCATCACAGTACACAAACTTGCATGTATACATGCAAATGCATGTATGCCATGTGTATATATATACATACATGCATGCACCTGCATAAACACACAGCATAAACAAGTTGCAGTACAAACATCGTAACTTATCATACAGAGAAAATTACATTCCTACTGTTCTCCAAGCTGCACAGACATGCACATTGTCTATGCTCTCATACAAAGCTGTATCATGTAACTTCTGTACGTCCCTCGTTTTGTTTAAAGGCATAAGGCTCCTAAAAGGATGGAGACAATTCTGCTGAGTTTGCAATGCACCTCGAAGCAGATGACAGAACATACTGAAAAAGGGCTCCTATGTACAGACACCATGAGTATAGTAGCATTTGCAACAAAGGGGAAAACATGGGAGAAGGGAGTTGATCCAGTTGAAAATGGATCCGGCAGGTGAGAGTAGCACAATGTGATGGACGAACAGAAGAAACAGGGACAAGTTAGGTGAGATGGTTATGCAAATACCCTCAGGAGCTGAGTGAAGCAGTTACTCATTGGAAGCCAACAGCCTCTGGGTCAGGATCGAAGCATAGCTGGGATACAGAAGAGGGCATGCCACAAGGCATGGAGAAGAGTTTCACATAGGATATAAGGGAAATCATACCTGATACAGGCACATAAGGAAAAAATGGACACATGGAAAATGAAAGTGGGATGTGAAACAAGTTTTGTACATAAGATGAAGAATGCTGACAAGACGACAGACACGAGACAAAAGTTAAGAAGGGTCAGATTAGGTAATAATAGCAAACAGAATATGGTGCAGCATGTGGATGGGAAAAGGTGAGGATGCATACTTCAAGTACTAGAGCTTACTGAGGGGGAAGAGGTCACAGGTGCCAGAACAGCTTGCAGAGCTAACCACATGGTACCGTCTCACAGTTTGTAGGAAACAAAACTTCTTACACCAACAGGTGTTGGTGTATTTGCATCTGTGGGTGTGTTGTGTGCATCGACAAAGCTCTTTGGGCACAGGGACATCACTGAAGTAAAACCCTTGCTTTCTCCTCTCTCAGATGTTGTGTCAGGGCCTGTTTGGGCATTAGTATGAAAATGGCTCTGCTACGGGATGTGTATTGGTGTAGTTTTGCATTTTCAGTAGCTGGCCATGTAAAGGGAGGGAGGAAAAGCCTGCACTGGTAAAAGAGAACAGAGCCATGAGCCATGCATCTCCTGACAAGGAGTAGATATGAATGGCAATTGGCCACTTCACAGTATGTTTTTTTTTTTTTTGCTCCTATGTTGGGTTATCTCCAGAAATGAAGCTTTTTTTCCTGCAGAAGAGAGGGATGAAAGAAGGGCACTTGAGCCAAACCGGGGCTTGAATGCTGCTAGCAGCCAGGCCTGAGAGTTTAGTTAGAGGGGCTTATAAAAGAGGAGAAAAAAAAATGAATGTATTTTCACAATTTGCCTTTTTGGTACTTGCCCAGACGTGCGTGTCTGGGTTGCATTACAAGTTCTTTGGGGCAGGCACTGTGCATTGTACTCGGCTAGGGAGAACCACTGGTAGACCCATCACATCATTGCAGACAAGCAGCTGTAGCTGTGGAGGAGACAAGAGATGACAAGGAGGGATCCTCCTACTTTCATGTTATACATTATAATTTATCCAATTTCTTTCTCTCTTTCCTCTAGGAGAGATGCACTATTCCCTCCCTCTTCCATACACACCAATCATTTTTGCTATTAGATGTACAAACTGAAACAGATCTGACTAAACTCAGAGCGCTGGTTCTAAATTCACACTTAGCAATGAGGTTAACTGAGTTTTTATCAGATACTTTTTCCAAGTAGCAAGATTAATAACCTTGCCTGGCATCTATGAGTATGTACATGTACATGGTAGGTATGTATGTATACTAACTTTTTTTGTGCTTGCTTACTCTTGTACTTACATTGGCAAATGCATGCAGATTTATTTGTATGCATGTCTGCTGGGATTGTGAGTACGTTAATATAAATCTTCTAGGAAAGGAAAATGGAATTTAGTCATCCTGGTCTGTTCAAGCTGTTGGACAGAAACATGAAGCATGCCTATAGGGACATTTATTTATTTAGTAACAAGTCTTGGTAGCTGCAAGACCCAACCCACCATTCTGTAGAAAATGCTTTCATTTAAGATGAGAATTAGAGCTCTATTGCTGCAAGGCCTTCTATCACTTAGCTTATCGTGCCCTGCCCCAAATCACTGCAAACACCGCCACTCCCGACTCCCAGCAGATCGGTAACTTAAGGCGAAACCCAGTGTCCTGGCAGCCCTGTCTCCAGTTCAGGCCTCGCAGACTGTCAGTATAATGCTGCCAGAGAGACAGCAGGTGTCAGTGTTGCACGTCTTATCCTGCCCAAGCTTTCCTGCTCTTAGCTTGGGGCTCTGGCTGCTCCCTTTGCTCAGGCCCTGGATGAACCAGAAACGGTATGAATGACCTGAATCTCCCTGTCAGCACTAGGGATGCACTGCAGAGGGCTGCAGCCAGGATACTGGGCTCTGCCTGGCTGGACTCGGGGCAGAACGGAGAACGTGATGAAGAAGAGCATCGTTACAGGCTCCCACATCTTCGGGCTGCTGGCTGCGTCGCCCTCCTGGCACGTGCGGCACCCGCTGCAAACCTCTGTGCTCAAAGCGAGCCTTGACCGCTGCCGTAGTATCTGCTGTACTCAGATAAATGCGATCAATAAAGATATCAGAACGTTGACCGCAAAGAGCGAGGATCCGCAGGGGAACCTCACTCACGCGACCAAGGGCTCTGGTTTAACTGCTGGATGCGTACCACGGGCGGTTTGTCCCCAAAGATGCCCGTGCGCTTTGGAAACCACCATCTCGTCCTCACAACCAACCTGGGATGCGAGCCAGGACCTGCCCCCTCACGGCGGCGAGAGGGCAGCTCCCGTGTAAAAGGAGGGCGGTACCTGTTCGGGGTCACTGCTGAGCCCCGCGGTGCCTCCGCGCATGGCCCCGCACCCTC